GAGCCTCAAAAGAAAGGTAAGTCTATTGCCTTAAAATCTAACAAATCTGTAAAAGCTTTACAGGTGTTAGAGGAAAGCTCTGAAGAATCTTCTTCTGAAGAAGAAGATGAACTATCCTTGCTGTCCGAAAGAATCAACAGACTCTGGAAGCACAAGCAAAGGAAGTTCAAGAACTTCAAAAGACCAGATCAGCGCAAGGAGTCCTCTGGACCAAAAAGATCTGGAAAGAAGGAAGTTGTCTGATTTGAATGCAAAGAACCTGGCCATTACAAGAGTGAATGTCCAAAGCTTCTTAAAGAAAAGCCAAAAAGGAAGTTTGACAAAAAGAAGAAGGTTTTAATCGCAACTTAGGATGACTCTGATGAATCTGGATCCTCATCAGAATCTGAAGATGAATGCGCCAACATGGCTCTGATGGCAGGCATTGAAGATCAGAATGAAGAATCATTTGGATCTGAGTCTGATTCTGAATCTGACTCAGAAGAGGTACTTTCTGATCTAACTAGGGAATAGCTTATTAAAGTCTTATCGGAAGTCCTGAAAAATTATAATCAGATTAAGCTCAAATGCAAGAAGCTTAAGTGTAATCTTGGCTCTGAGAATAATCTGTTAAAATCATAAATTGCTGAGCTAAAAGAAAACAATTTAAAAATGAAAGCTAATTTTGAAATAGCTCAACAAAACTCTGAATCTGAAAGTAAGTCTAAATGCAAAAACATTTTAGAAGAATGTGACTTTAGCTTTCAGAAATTTCTTGCTAAAAGCATAGACAGAAGCAAGATGGCTTCTATGATCTATGGGGTTAGCAGAAATAACAGGAAAGGAATTAGATATGAATCCTCCTCTAGAAAGGATTTAAATCCAATGCCTGTTGATAAACTTGTTATCAAGAAAACTCCCTTGTACTCTCATTTCAAGTTTGGTCATATGAGTGACATTAAACACAAACGTTCTGATCAGAACGTTCCTGTGTTTAAGCCAAAAGTAAGTCATAACAATACTGTTGGAAAAAGACAGAAGTTCAGACCAACTTTCAAGGCAGCTAACCAAAAAGGACCCAAAAAGATCAGGGTACCTAAGGATAAGATTATCCCTGTTGCAGATGTTTTTAGCAGAAAAGTCAAGACGCCAGTCATGGTACCTGGACTCTGGCTGCTCACGTCATATGACGGGAGAAAGGTTTATGTTCCAAAGCCTGGAACTTAAATCTGGAGGAGAAGTGAAGTTTGGAGGGAATCAGAAGGGCAAGATCATTGGCTCTGGTACTATTGATAATGGTAACCTTCCCTCTATATCTAATGTTCTTCTTGTAGAAGGATTAAAGCATAATCTATTGTCCATAAGTAAATTAAGTGACAATGGTTATGATATAATCTTTAATCAACAATGTTGTAAAGCTGTTAGTCAGAAGAATGGCTCAATCCTATTTAATGGAAAGAGAAAGAACAACATTTACAAAATAAATCTTTCAGAACTTAAAGTTCAAAACGTTAAATGCCTCTTGTCTGTTAATGATGAGCAATGGGTCTGGCACAGAAGATTGAGGCATATTAATATGAGACAAATATCTTAGATTAATAAACTCAATCTGGTCAGAGGACTTCCTAAGCTGAAGTTCAACTCAGATGCTCTTTGTGAAGCATGTCAAAAAGGAAAGTTTTCAAAATCTTCTTTTAAATCTAAAAATGTTGTCTCAACCTCAAGACCATTAGAATTACTTCACATTGATCTATTTGGACCAGTGAAAACTGCATCCATCAGAGGCAAGAAGTATGGATTAGTCATTGTTAATGACTACAACAGATGGACATGGGTAAAGTTCCTAAAACACAAGGATGAGTCACATTCTGTGTTCTTTGACTTCTGCAAACAAGTCCAGAATGAAAAAGATTTCAAAATTATTAAAGTCAGAAGTGATCATAGTGGAGAATTTGAAAACAAATATTTTGAAAAATATTTTAATGAAAATGGCATTGCTCATGATTTTTCCTGTCCTAGAACTCCACAACAGAATGGGGTTGTAGAGAGGAAAAATAGAACTCTGCAAGAAATGGCCAGAACCATGATCAATGAGACTAATCTGGAAAAGCATTTTTGGGCAGAAGCAATAAACACAACATGTTACATTCAGAACATAGTGTCTGTAAGACCTCTTCTGGAAAAGACTCCCTATGAATTGTGGAGGAACAGAAAGCCCAACATTTCATATTTTCATCCTTTTGGATGTATTTGTTATATGCTGAATACTAAAGAGAATCTTAACAAGTTTGATTCTAAAGCACAGAAGTGTTTCATGCTTGGGTATTCTGAATGCTCTAAAGGCTACAGAGTATACAATACTGAAACACAGATTGTGGAAGAATCTATTCATGTTAGATTTGATGATAAGCTTGGCATTGAAAAGCCAAAGCAGTTTGAAAGTTCTGCAGATAGAGAAGTAATTCTCACAGACTCTGAAGGCTCAGAGGCAGACAAAGCTCAAGTGAAGAAACCTGAAGCAACGCTAGATGCAATTCCTTTAGCTTCTCAGATGAACAACTTAAACATTTCTGAAGAATCAACTGTTAGAGGATCATCCTCTAGAATCAAAGCCTCTCATCCAGAGGATGTGATCATTGGAAAGAAGGATGACCCTATCAGAACAAGATCCTTCCTCAGATCATCTGAAGCATCATTATTTGGGTTGGTGTCAGTAATTGAACCAACTTCTGTGGATGAAGCTCTGCAAGACAATGACTGGATTATTGCCATGCAAGAGGAGCTCAATCAATTCACAAGAAATGATGTATGGGATTTAGTTCCAAGACCAAAAGGATTCAACATGATTGAAACTAAATGGGTCTTCAGAAACAAGCTTAATGAGAAAGGAGAAGTTGAAAGAAATAAGGCAAGGCTCGTTGCTCAAGGTTACAGCCAGCAAGAAGGAATTGATTATACAGAGACTTATGCTCCTGTAGCAAGGTTAGAGTCTATTCGTTTACTCATTTCCTTTGCTGCACAGTATAACATCACTCTATATCAGATGGATGTTAAAAGTGCCTTTCTAAATGATATTATAGAAGAAGAAGTTTATGTTCACCAACCTCCTGGTTTTGAAAGTGAAAATTTTCCAGAACATGTTTTCAAACTAAAGAAATCTCTTTATGGTTTAAAACAAGCTCCCAGAGCTTGGTATGAGAGGTTAAGCAATTTTCTTTTGGAGAAAAATTTCATCAGAGGAAAAGTGGACACAACACTCTTTTGTAAAACATTTAAGAAAGGTCTTCTAATTTGTCAAATATATGTGGATGATATTATATTTGGATCTACCAATGTTATGCTGGGAAAGGAGTTTGCTCAATGTATGCAGACAGAATTTGAAATGAGCATGATGGGAGAATTGAGATTCTTTCTGGGAATTCAAGTCAACCAAACTCCAGAGTGCACTTACATTCATCAGACCAAATATGTTAAAGAACTTCTGAAGAAATTTAACATGACTGACAGTAAGATGGCAAAGACTCTCATGCATCCAACTAGTACACTTGGTAAGGAAGAGGTAAGTAAGAAAGTAGATCAGAAACTCTACAGAGGTATGATTGGATCTCTTCTCTACTTAACTGCTTCTAGACCTGATATTTTGTTTAGTGTATGCTTGTGTGCAAGATTCCAATCAGATCCTAGAGAATCACACTTAACAGCTGTTAAGAGGATTCTAAGGTATCTGAAAGGTACTTCTAATGTGGGTTTGTGTTACAGAAAATCTGATGATTTCAAATTAGTTGGATTTTGTGATGCTGATTATGCTGGAGACATAGTGGAAAGAAAAAGTACTTCTGGAAGTTGTCAATTTCTAGGAAGAAATCTAATCTCTTGGTACAGCAAGAAGCAACCCACAATTGCACTATCAACTACCACTAGTAGAAAAAATACTTTATAGTAAAGGTTGTTAAGTCAGTTCACCTGCCACCTGACTTAAGAAGTGATGTGGTGACAATTTCGTAAATATTTGTAACATTATTAGATCAATTACATTTAGAACTGACTTAAAAAATATTAAAGAAAAAAAATATAATTAGTATTAAATTTCTTAAGTCGCCTGTGTTCACTAACTGACTTAAAAAACATATTTATTAAGTCAGATATTGCCCACCTGACCTAAGACGTTTTATTCAAACCCTTCTCTCACTACAAACCCTTCTTCTTCACAATAAATCTCTCACTACAAACCCTTCTTCGAATAACCCTTTCCAAATCTTCGTTCTCTCCTCCTCCAACTCTCCACCTCATCACCCACATCTTCCCCTCATCAATCCCTTAACCATCACCTGCGACACCCTTTCCTTTTCTCTATTTCCTCTCATCTCCTCTACCCTAAAAGCTTCACCATCCCTCCACCGTGACAACAACCCACGCCTCTCTTCACTTCTCTGTCGAAAATCAACTACCATCAGATTTTCTCCACCAAAACCAAAATCAGAGTAGCCATGTTGCTTCGCCGTTTGCCGTGGACGGCGGTTTCCGCTGCTGCACCAATTCCACTGCATTCTTCCATTAAAGTTTTCACTTCCATTCCAAAGCAACTCGCCTTCTCCCTTTTATCCTTCTGCTCCACCTCCAACCTCCATCTCACTCACCATCCAGACAAACATGTAATTTCATTTTCACGCCATTTCTAGGGTTATTCGAAGATTATTGCGTTTTTTATATATGTTTAAATTCCTAAACTTTCAATTTTCTTGCCATGACCTTATTTTAATGTGTTAGAGTGAGGGTCATAGGAAAATATTGACTAAGGAGCTGGAAGCTGTCGGCTTGCGACTAAACAAGAGACCACCTCAGGTATGTTTGTTCCTGAATGGATATGTTGAATACATGACACACAACCTATATTCTTTTATTTGGCTTCTAGTTGGGTTTATATATTGTTTTTCATTAATAATTTGGAACTTTATATTTCTTTGCAGATATATTTTAAGAAGAAAAAGACAAAGACGGGTGGCATTTCATTCAACAACACTATGCCCTTAACTCATGTGGATGAGAAGCTTTGTTATCAGATTCTACACGAGTACAAAATTCACAATGCAGAGGTATCTAGCAACCTTTAAAGTGGTTCCATAAAGTGGTGTCAGTTGTAATTCAGTTATATGAACCAGTTGTTATGATATATTATAATTGTGCAGCTGTAGCCACCATCACAAATGTTAAATTTAAATTTGCATAGTATGCCTAAGCATGGCTAGTCGGTGATGTGAGCCATTAAGTAGCATCCTAAGAAATATTTTAAATCTGTAATATGATTTCTGTAGCATGGCCTTTCCCACAATACTATCATTGAATATGAGAGAAGTAGTTAAGATTTGCTTATTTTCATTCCATAAAGCACGAGATAAAATTTGCTAAAATTTTATTGCAGAGAGAGTACTTGATATCACATGTTCCTTTTCAGTTTTCAACTATCTCTTTCCAAGTAGACGCAGATTTTCATTCTGATGAAAACTGTGATTATAAAGATCAGACTGACCCTTTGTATAATGTAGGAGTGTTGAGTTTAACCGGTAATTGTTTTTTTTTTTTGCTGGTGGTAGAACCATACCATTTTGATGAAATATGTAATTTTGCTTACTACAATTATCATACTATAATTGTTTTATTTTCCCTCTTCTGTTTTATACTACCCGCCTATATGAATGAGACAGCTAACAACTTCAATTTTCAGATCCTTTTCCGTGAGGATGCGACAGTGGATGATTTCATAGATGTCATTGAAGGAAACCGTAAATACATGAAGTGTGTATATGTCTACAACAAGATAGATGTTGATGGTATTGATGATGTAGACAGATTATCCCGTCAACCTAATTCTGTTGTCATTAGCTGTAATTTAAAGGTAGCTGCATATTTTCAGTGTCAAAAAAAGAATACAAGATACAGTAAAGTTTTACCAATTAGTTCTTTTTAACATTCTAGAAATTATCGTACATTTAACATTTATATTTTTTCAACTTTTTTGTATGTCAGTAACACAAGTATTCTGTTTTTATGCAAACAGCTGAATTTAGACAGACTACTTTCAAGGATGTGGGATGAAATGGGTTTGGTTAGAGTTTATACAAAACCGCAAGGCCAGCAGCCTGATTTCAGTGATCCAATGGTTCTTTCAGCTGTATGTTGCATTATTAATTATTGTTATTATGAACACACATGTTCTCCTTATTCTATTTTCTTAGAAAACCTTTGGTTACTTTTTGTTTTAGGGACTATTTGGATTGTGACTTGAGTTTATTTTCTGACATAAGCACTTGTGAGACTGTTTGAGAGAGTTTATGGAAACAACTTATAACATGTCCATAAGCTGTTTTTCAGTTTATCCATAAGCTCTCCACAATGGCTTATATCAAAGTAGTTATATACTTTATTTTATCTTTTGTTATATAAAAAATTTACACACAAGCACTGACTGATATGATAAGTGCTTATGATATAAGTGTTTTTAATTAACCTTTAGTCTTCCAATCCATCACTATCTATTGCATATTGTTTTAGGATAAAGGTGGCTGCAGTGTGGAGGATTTCTGCAACCACATACATGGAAGTTTGGTGAAGGATGTGAAGTATGTTCTGGTGTGGGGTATAAGTGCTAGGCATTATCCACAACATTGCGGCCTTAGTCACGTTCTTCGTGATGAAGATGTTGTTCAGATTGTTAAGAAAAAGGTTAGAAATCTACCCTTCACCTTGTCTTGTGCTGTCTAACTTATTGGTGCACAGTGTTGTTAAATAACAGCTACAACATTGCGTAGTTTGAACATATTACCATTGTTCCACTATAAGCCATTTATTATAAATATTGTCAAATAGTAGTTTTAGTGTCACTATAACACTATTGGCAACATTGGTTGTGCATCATTCTTCAAATTCTATGTTCTTGACTTGTTACTTGCTGAACACATCCATATTTGCAATGATGAGAGATTGAATATGAATGGATATACAGGAAACAGATGAGGGAGGAAGGGGTCGTTTCAAGTCGCATTCCGACGCACTTGCTCGGATATCAGACAGACAAAAGAAGGCTCCACTTAAACAATAAAGGCATGTTCCTCTTCCCAAATAGGATTGAATGTTCCTCTAAGTTTTCATCACCCATTTGTTGTAATTTTTTCATCCTTTCAACAATAGCTTTTATGAATCTATGGAGTCTGCACAATGAGTTGAGAAATAGAAAGCAAAGGAAAAACATGAACTGCATCTTGAAAATTTTCGCAGCCATTATCTGTGATTGCATATAATACCTATATGTGCTGATGGTGTGCCTTTGAGGGTTAATCATCATACTACTAGAGTTGAAACTTGAATGAGCCAATGAAGTGTTTCGGTTTGAGCAAAAGAGTGAGATAAAACTCAAGAAATTATTGTATTTTATAGAGAAATGAATTTTGTATATTCAAGAAATGAACTTAATGTTGAAGAAATAATTTAAACTAACAAACCAATCATTTGAAAATAGAGTCCAATATGATTGTACTAAAATGAAACTTATTGTAAGATTGTTGGTGCATTTTTATGAAAAACAAAGTGATTTTTTTTAGAAATGATGCATATGAAGAGTACAAAATATAAATATAAACCAAAGCTTATTAAATAAGTTTTGGTTTATACATGAAGCTTTGTTATCATAAGCACTTTGTTATAATAACAGTGAAAGAATTTTTGTTTTGTGAATGTTTTCTCAGGTTATTGCTGTTGCTAAATCCTCAGACATAGTTTACTTTTGTGAGACTAATTTACTTTTGTGCTACAAGGGCAGGCCCAGCTTAGAGAGGAGACGCTGAAGGAAGAAAATGCTGCTTTCGAGAATGCTATATCCAATTGCGAGGATAAGATCAAGGAAAAATTACAGGAGGCCGAACTACTAAGGAGCAAGTTAGAGGTGGGACTGAGGATTGTTATATGTATTCTGTACTGTGTTATGCTGAATGACAATATTGTTTGATGTGTCTGTGTGCGCCATGATATAGACTATAGAGAGTGAATGTGATGTTTTATTTGGCGGTTTACTGAGTTACGTATTTTGGGAATTGAAGTTCATTGTTTTATGTTTTAATTATTGTTGCTTCTATTTCTTCTGTTTTGGGTTACAAGAAATGGATGAAGCTGAAGAGAAGATGAAGACCGAGATAGAAAATATGCGGCTGCGAGCTTCCGAAAATGCTGACCAATCTTGGACGGCCGAGAGTTGGGAGGAAGAAAACAAGACATATACTAAAACTGGCTTTGATGCAGATGTGGATGGAGAAGTTTCAAAATCGGCTATGCTTGATAAATTGGAAGAAAAGAAGAACGAATTGGTTTGTTGTTTCTTTAATGACACAATTTTGTTTTGCGTTCTTAAACATAACATATTGTTCAATGTTGAATGAGTAAGGGTGAATTTAGATAAACAGCATAATTTAGTGCATACTCAATATGCCATTTTTGGGAGTTTAATTAAGGGATTATTCACAAGCTATTCTGAAAATTTTCTTGAAATAAACTAAAAACTGTTTATGAACGTGTCGTAACTTAAATTATTTTCATTAAGGTACCTTACTAAATAAATGTTTATATTGTGAGATAAGATAAAATCAAATGCCCCCCGAGCACTCAGATGGTGTCGGTGTCAGTCCTGACTCATTTAAATAATTAATAGCCTGACTCAAAATAACCAAAAAGCAAAGAGGCCGTTTTCTGCTTTGTTTAACCTTCCTATTCTTTTGTAGGCAAGGGAGGCACGGAAGAAAGCCATCACAGAAATGAGTGAGGAAGCTAAAGCTGCATTTGACGCAATGAGAAATGAGTGAGGAAGCTAAAGCTGCATTTGACGCAATGAGATTTTACAAGTTCTACCCTGTTCAATCTCCAGATGCATCTCCAGCGTTCGAGTCAGATTCAGTGCTTGATAGCTTGAATATTTAAATATTATGATTAATGACTCATGTATTGAAAAGAATGAAACAGAAGTTGTCAACATCTCCAAACCTTGGCTCAACAGTAGTGATCCAATGAATGAGACTTATGTGCCTCGTTCAAAGAAGCTCAGCATCTTAGATAGAACAGAAGCTGGTTTATTACAAGCTCGAGCTGCTATTAGAGAAGCCATATATGGAAATCAAGCACAAGATCCAGATTATGTTCCAATAGGTCCAATGTATTGGAATGCTAAGGAATTTCACAAGTTCGTTAATAATGCATTTGTCTATCAATGTGGCCAATTACAAATATGCACTAAATGCTTACAAAGTTATACTTTGAGTGACAGGAGCTACTTGGAAATGGAAAAACAGTTCAAAGTATTCGTTTACGAAGAAGGGGAGATCCCAGTTTTTCACAACGGACCTTGCAAAAGCATATACTCGATGTTAGCTTCTAAACGTCCCATGTTAGCTTTCTTTGCAGGAGGACTTCACGAATATATAAGATCGATTCTTCTCGAACATTGGGAAAACAACAAGGATTAAGAGATGATGGTTCAAAAGTATCTTCCAAAGGGTGTTTCTTACTATGAAATGTTAAGGAAGAGCAAGTTCTGTCTCTGTCCAAATTCAGAGGGTTCAGAGCATTGAAATTCAGAGGGTCAAAGTAGCAAAAATTGACAAGTGGGTCTATTTTTTGATTCATGAAACTGTCTTACCTTGTATGTTGTTTTTCATTATATTGTTGTTAGTTCATGGACACATGTAAGTAATATAATATTTTTAGCAAGTTGTATCAATTAATTACAAAAAATTATGTTGATATATTAATTTAATTTTTAGCAAGTTGTATCAATTAATTACAAAAAAACTATGATCTGTGTTGTGTGAATTTTTTTGGGTGTAATTTGTTGATTGAGTTGGATAGTCTGATTTGGGGGTAAATTATTAAATGGGAAAACTGCATCTGATTTGTGTGATTATCCAAAAAAAAAACAACTTCTTAGGTTGGTTAATTATACCTGATTTAAAAAAGTAAGTTCTTAGGTCGGGTATAAATGGTTTCTGCAGGCTAAACTTATTAAGTCGGGCTCTGTCTAACCGACCTAATAATATTTTTGTTAAGTCAGGTCTACAACCGACTTAAGAAGTCAAAACTTCTTATGTCGGTAGTTCTTAGGTCGGGCTCGGACCCGACTTAAAAAGTCATTTTTAACCGACTTAAAAAGCCTTTTTTCCACTAGTGTACAGAGGCAGAATATATTGCTGCTGCTGGATGTAGCACGCAGATGCTCTGGATGAAAAGTCAGCTAGAAGACTATCAGATTTTTGAAAGTAACATTTCTATATTCTGTGATAATACTTCTGCTATATGTTTGTCTAAAAACCCCATTTTACACTCTAAGGCAAAACATATAGAAATTAAACATCATTTCATCAGAGACTATGTTCAGAAGGGAATTATAAACTTAGCCTTTGTTGATACAGATCATCAATGGGCAGATATTTTCACAAAACCCCTTGCTGAAGATAGGTTCAAATTTATTCTGAAAAATATTGGTATGGATTTTTGTCCAGAATGATATTTATCAGAAGCAAATTTCTCAGATGCAAAATGTTTAAAACTCTGAAGTATTTCATCTGTTATTTATTTGATTTATTCAATTATTATTATTTGTGTGTATTTGAACTAATCAATCTTAGAGGATCTGAACGTTGGCTAACGTTTCATTTCTCAAGAGAATTCAGAAGCACATGCAAGGAAACACGTGTCACTCTGAATCTGAAAAGATTGCGTGTACACTACTGAAGAGACATCTGAGGTATGGTTTGAATAGTGGAAATCTTGATTTTCCCCCCATATTTGTCAGAATCAATTAATGTTTGAAATGATTTTTATTCTCTTTCATGAATTGTCATTTAATGCTATGTGAAAACGTCCTATATGTGTCTGTTGATTGCCCTAAATGTTTCCTCTATAAATACCACATTTCACACCAATTTCACACTTTTCACTTCACAAACAATTTTATGCATTTCTGCCTTCTCTTCTCTCTTCACAAAAACCCTAAACCTTCGTCCCAATCATCTTCATCCTCTTCAATGGCAACTTCATCTTCTACAGCAGCTCAATTTCAATCAACTATGGCTGCAGTTACTTCTGAAAATATGGGTGTGACTCCATTCACAGTGCCTAAGAGGACATTGTTAACTCCTGTTGACAAACTTGAAGTTCTCTGTGAATCAATGGTGGAATTTGATTCGTTAGCTGAAAATGGGTTTGAATTTCGTTCAATAATTGATGCACAAGGCTGGGTTAAATATTTTGACAGATTATTTGGACCAGTTTACCCTCATCTGGTGAAGGAATTCTGGATACATGCTTCTGTGTATCCAAAATTCATTTTATCTTCTGTTCTGGGAAAGGAGATCATAATAACTGAAGATCTCATCAGGAAACTCATAGGGTATGAGGAGACTGATGGAGTATGTCATCTGCCAGTTGGGCGTGTGGACATGGAGGAATTTTATGAGGAAGTAATCACATATGGACAGACTCTAACAAATTCAAGGATCTGAAGCCTGACTATAAAATCTGGGCAAAGATTTTTCTGGGTTGCATCCATCACAGAAAATCTACCAATTCTCCAGATTATGTGAACAATGAACAACTCTACTTCATGTATTGTTTAAGTCAGAGTACCAAGGTAGATCTTCCTTACATTCTCTTTATGCATCTGTGGAACCATATAAATGCTTCAAGAGAATCAGTAAAGGATAAGGGACAGAAGATCAGGACATGGATTCCCTTTGGAAGATTGATTTCAGACATTCTGACAGAGAATGGTCTGGTAATTGCTCTGTATGAAGCTGGAGTTAAGGATGAACTTGAATCCATCATTGGAAAACCTCTGAATGCAAAGAGTCTTCAGAGACTAAAGATTGTAGATGAACTTACAGCTGCACCCAAGAAGTTAAATATTTCTGAAATCAGTCAGAAGAGAATTCCTGTTGATAATTTTCCACTTTTTGGTGCTGAAGAACCAAGGGATATCATTGTGAGATATATTGATTCATGCAAAGCAGATGGAACGCCTATTCCTGCAGACATTCTGATAAGAGCAAGAGAACCAATGCC